CACGGCCGCCCGCGTCCAGGCCACGCCGGTGCCAGCAGCGCCCGAGGCCGGGAGCCGGGAAAGGCAGAGCCCCCCGCCCCGCGCCGCGCCCGCCTCTTTCACCGCTCCCCGCCTTGGCGCCCGCAGCGGCGCCGCCCCGGAGATGGGCACCGATCGCTGGAAGACCGCAGGCAGCGCTTCCCAACTTGAGGACCGGCCGCGCGACAAGCCGCAGGTACACGGGGCGCGGGGACGCTAGGTCCGTGCGACCGGGGTCTGGAGTTGTCCAGGGCGCGCGCCTACAGACGGCCGAACTCAAATGGGGGAGCCCCGCTCGGCAACCAGGTCCCCCCAGGTCCTCCCACGTGTGCGGGGCTGCGGGGAGTGGGGGACCCAATGCGCGCCCCGGTCCGTCCTTCAGGTCGCCGAGTGACTACCGACGAATGACTTCCCTGCCGGGGCTCCTCGTCCTGCCTTCACCACGGTCGTCTAAGTCCCCTTTCTCAATGCACTGGGGCCAGGCGTGGGGCAAGGCAACCTGGGCTTCAGGACCCGGCCCCGCCCCCCGCCCCGGAGTGTCCTACCCATCTTCCCGCGTTACAGGACCCTGTATGTAGATCATATTGCTCGACTCCGTGAGGAGGCTGGCGTGTGACTCTCAGACTTTATACAAGGGACGCCAGGCTCAGAAAGGGCTGACTCCAGACTAAGGCCACACAGCACGGTGGCATTTGAACCTGCTGCCTCTGCGCGGCGGGGCGGTGGCCTGCAGGGTGCCCAAAGCTGTGTCCTGCGGAGGGGCGAGGGCAAAGCACTGGGCAGCGCCGTGCTGGAGTCCTGCAAGAGCGGAGACAGTGGCTCAGCCTGGGGGTTGCCCTAGGCCGGGGCGCAAAGGGACCGGGACAGGCGGAGGCTGCTCGCCAAGAAGAGGAGATAATGGGGCTGTTCGTTTTAAATTTTAAATTTCTCCCAGACAGATGTCTTTGGGGAAGGAACAGTTGAGTTTGCAGCCGCCGGTGGGGGGCGGCAGGGGCGGGCCTTGGCGCACTAGCTCTTGCAAATCTGCAGCCTGCTTTTTCTTCTGGAGGGGTCAGGAGCGGGAGGAGCCCTATAAGTCACACATGGGGTGGCAGAGGTTAGGGGATTCAAACCTGGGCCCCACACCTCTCCTGCCTCACAGGGGTGGCCTGTGCCCCTTGAGAGGCCCAAGATCAGATGGTGTCTTCCCCAAGCAGGTACAGAGGCCCCTCCTGCTGGGGTCTGCCCTCCTCCCTCTGCAGAGCTGTCAGGCCTCCCTGCTCGTCATTTGCCCACCTGGGCCCACCCACCTCCAGATCTGTACTGCTTCTCCCTGTTGGATGTCCAGGTTCCCCAAACCCACCATGGATGCCTAGTTGTTCTTCAACAGTAAGCTCAAGCTGGGCATGGTGGCACACACCTGTCATCTCAGCACTCAATAGGCTGAGGCAGAAGGATCACTGTGAGTTTGAGACCAACCTAGGCTACAGAGTGAGTTCAAGGACAGCCTGAACTATACAGAGTGACCCCTTCTCAAAATAAAGTTAAGGGGCCAGGGAGATAGCTCAGTAGAATAAGCACTTGCCTGGCAAGTGCAAGCCCTGAGTTCAATCCCTGGTATCATAAATAAATAAATGTACTAGGGGTGTAGCTCACTAGCATGCATGGGGACCTTAGTTCAATTTCCAGTACTAAGAAAAAGTCAGCTCAAATGAGGCCACCTCCTCCAGGAAGTCTTCCCTGATGCCTACTGCCTGTGTCTCTGTTTCCTGGTCCCTCTGCACCTTTATCTTTCGGCGTTGGGCCGCAACCCCAAGTCCCTTCTCCCTTGGGAGCTCTTTTAGGACACACACTCCTTCCTTCCAAGCCCCTCTTCCACTCTCAACCTGCTCCAACCTCCAGCCCCTCCAGCTCTAATTTGCTAAATTGTGCTGCTTGAAGTTTCCTCAAGAGGAGCGCCCCAGGAAGAGTGGAGTCAGCCAGAAGCAGTGTCTTCTAATGTGGCCTCCTGGCATCCTGGGCTCGGCAGCGGCCACCTTGCTCAGGGCTGCCAGTCCTCACGCCTTCTCCCCAAATGTGACGTGACTGGGGCAGGCTGACCCTGCCAGCTCCTTCCCCATTTGAGGCCATAGACAAAGAGGCCAGGACTGTGCTGGTTCCCTGGGCACCCTGCTTCTGGCCCCTCCTCACCTCCCTCCCTTCTGGGTCCCTCTCATGCATCCCAAGTCCCTGTCCTGCTCTGGGCCAGGGCTTTCCCATCAGGAGCATGGGAACTGCCAACCTGCCTGCTCTTCCTCCCAGAACTGCCGGGAGCTACCAGCGTTATACTCGAGTGTGTTTTGAGGGTCACGACTGCCCAGGTCCCGCTGCGTCCCAGTCCTATGTGCCCTTGGCCCCTGTGTGACCTTGGACAAGTTGTCAACTTGGACTCCGTTAGTGTGTCCTGTGCACTGCCCAAGGAAGACAGGAAGAGACTGTCATTCCCTTGGTGCAAGGTGAAGTGGTGGACAGGTGTTTGTAGGAAGTTGGAGACTAAGGTGGAAAGAGCTAGAAATTGACCCAGGTCTTCATGACCTGGAAAGTGGGGCACACAGGAACCCCGAAGCTGTCTCCTCCAGAGGGGGTGGGGCTTACTTCTAAGCTGTCCCCAGGCCACCACAGAGGACCTTCTAGGTCGTTTCCTAACTTCTCAAACCAACTGCATGTGAAAGTCCTCCCTGGTGTCTGACCTCAGTGCTTGCCACTTTAGCATTCCTTAGCTGCTTCTTTACCATGCCCCTGCTCCCTGCTGGGAGTGCAGCCCGTGCCTGGGGTGACAAGCTTGGGGTACCCAGGGACAAATCCATAGTCTGACATCACTGCAAGCTGTGACGGATGCTGTGCAAAAGCTGTGGGCCTCCTTCTCCTTAGTCCTGGGGGTTCAGGGCAAGGTGGCTGCATCGGGGGGAGGGTAAAATCTGGGACAAGGGCACTCGGGACCCCCTCTTGCTGTCTGAGACCCTGCCTCACTGAGGGTTCTGTGCACCAGGGCCCCGGGAGGGACCTGCATGGGCCAGCTGTGCATTGGGCCCAGCAAAGCCAAGCTTCAGGTGAGAGCAGGGAGCCCTGGGAGGGCAGTGCCATCTCCCGCACACATGCCCTCCTTGTACCAGTCTCTGCGGGGACCTGTGAGACTCTTGATGTCCCTCCGCGTGGGGCTGCAGCAGCAGTGGCTTCAAACCCAGCTCTTGGGCTCAGGTTCCTGGCTGCTGTGCTGCCCATCCTGGGGATGCCTTGCTCCGGGTGCTGGGAGCTCTGTGCAACGTGGGGTGTGCACCCCACTCTGCTGGGCCAGTGGCTGACAGTAAGCCCCAGCCCCAAGGGTGCATGGCCGTAGACACAGCCCCCATCTTCTGGCCCATTTCTTCGTGAGGCACGTAAGCCACAGCCTGTACAGCTCGCAGCCCCGTCCTCAGCTGTGAGGCTGGTCTCCGAAGACCAGCTCACTCTGCGAGTGCTGCTTCAGCTCCAGGCTCCACTGTTGCCCTGCTCAGGGGGGACCCTGCACACCCCCATCCCTGCTGCTCCACATCCTCTGGGGCAGAGGGGTGCTCCGAGAGCCCAGGGGCTGTGATGCCGAGGAGATGGCAGGTTCAGCAGAACCGGCGGGGGACCTTAGCGCCACAGTCTGCGGACACCACAGCTCCAAGCTGCTCAGGGCAAGGTGTCTCCCGTGGGCTCTGCAGCGGGTGCGACAGGCCCGGACTTGCTGACGCAGAGCTTTGTCTGTCAGGGAGCCAGCGTTGTGGGATGGCTCAGCCAGCAGGCCTGGCTGTGTATCCCTGTGATTCCAAAGCCACACAGTGCTGGCTTCTCACGCCCTCTGCTTCCTGTCCCCAGTGTGACTTCGGGCTCCATCTTTGCTCTCTGGTCCTCAGTATTCCCATCTGCAAAATGAGTGCGATGGCACCAACCCCAGGGATTGATTTGGAGATTTTGGACCTTAGAGCTGTGCCCAGGGGATGGTGACAGTGATGCTGATCGGCAGCGTTTGGCAGCTTTCAATGGCCTGGAGTCATTGCTCTGTGCCATGCGGTCAGAGTGCCACAGATGACCCTGCCTCGGACTCAGCAGGGAGGTCTGTCCCATCATGTCCTGGCCAGGACCACCCAGAGATGGGACACGTACCTCTGTCTGTCTGCTTGTCTCCTGCTCAGGCCTCAGCCAGGCCTGGGGACTGCACAGTGCTGGGCACCACGTGCGGGACACGTTTCCTGATCTGTGGCTCCCCAGCCACCAAAGTCACAAAGGATCTGGGTCCCCAAAGCATTCAAGACTCAAGTCCAGCACCTGGGCTGCCTGAAGTGGGGGGGTCTGACCTGCCCTGGCCCCTGCTGGGCAGTTGGAGCCCGGCTCCTGGGAGGACCCTGGTGTGCAATGACAGAAGGAGGGGACAAGTGAGTGGAGTCAGAGGCAATGGCAGCTCTGACAAGTGCCATCATGGCAAAACAAGTGGCCCTGTGTACCCAGGGCTGCAGGGAGCTGCAGCAGGGTGGATGGTGGCCTTGAGGCCTGTGGGATGTACCTGCTTTAGGAGCACCCCTTCTCCCGGGGCACAAGTTCCAGGGTGACAGCAGCAGGCAGGGGGCTGTGGATGCAGTCAAGGAAGGCTTCTTGGAGGAGGGGCAGGTGGAGAGGCCGGCCCTGGAGCCCGGCTGGAGGCTGTGGTCCAGAGGTGCAGGTGCTGGGCCATGTGGGACACTGGGTCCCTGAGGCATTGCCACTGCAGGGAGAGAAAGGGACCTGTCGCCCTCCTCGTGAGAGCAAACAGTTCCTCCCCGCAGGGCCTGCTGGTGGCCTGCACCTTACTGCCCTGGTCAGAGTCTGCTTTCAGACCAGCTTCACCCTTGCTTGGCCAGCCGCTCTGCTGTTTCCTCAGCATGAGGATGGTGGCTATTTTACACGTCACATCACCCCAGGAGAAGGCAGCTGCCAGGCGCTGCTGCTAGAGGCCCTGAGCTGTCAGTGTGGCTCCGGGAGGCTGAGGCAGGAGGACTGCAAAGTAGAACCCAACTTGGGCACCTTATAGACCCTGTCTCACAATAGAATTTTTTTTTTTAAAGGCCTGAGGACATAGCTCTGTGTAAGCTTAGTATGGGGAGAATAAAAGGTACGGTGCAGGCTAGCGGTGAACTGGGAAGCGAGACTCGGGGTGGGAGGTAACAGCCTCCTCCCGCCGTGGTGGGCACAAGGATCAGGGCCAATGAAAGCTGCCAGTGTTGAGTGCAGAAGCCCCAGGTGCCAGGTGCGGTGCCGAGTACGAAAATATGCCAGTCATTTCCAGAGACACCTTGTGCTCAGAAGGCCGGAAATGGGAAGTGTGTGGTGCTGAGGCGCTGGTGGCAGGAGGTGCCTTCCCAGGAAAGCAGGCCCCGGGGCCCAGGCTGAGCTCTGTTTCCAAGTTGCTGTGTGACTCTGGGTGAGCTCCTTGCTCTCTCTGGTTCTCCTTGCCTCCATTTCTCTTTTGCATCCTTTTCGTCTCAGCTGCATCTGTCCCTGGGCCTCTTCTGGGTCTCCCTGTTCCCTGGCTCTCTCCATCTCCTGCCCGCCCCTGCCCAGTTGCTAACTTGTGCCCTTCTCTCTCCTGTCTGTCTCCTGTCTGTGCCTCCCTTCCCCACATCCCTGGCTCCCTGCAGCGGTCGAGCTGTGGCTATGTCCTGTGCACCGTGCTGCTGTCCCTAGCCGTGCTGCTGGCCGTGGCTGTCACCAGCGCCGTACTCCTCCTGAACCATGTCCACCTGCCGGGCACGGCACCCCCACCTGTCGTGAGCACTGGGCCAGCAGGGGCCAACAGTGCGCTGGTCACTGTAGAAAGGGCCGACAGCTCACGCCTCAGCATCCTCATCGACCCGCGCTGCCCGGACCTCACCGACGGCTTCACGCGCCTGGAGGGGGCCCAGGCCTCCGTGCTGCGGGCGCTGACCGAGCACCGAGCCCAGCCACCACCCGACGGGGCCCAGGAGCAGGAGCTGCTGGACACCATGGCTGACCAGCTGGCCCGGCTGCTGGCTCAGGCCTCAGAGCTCCAGGCCGAGTGCACGGGGCTGCGCAAGGGCCACAGCGCGCTGGGGCAGGGGCTCAGCGCCCTGCAGGGCGAGCAGAGCCGCCTCCTCCAGGTGAGGGGCCAGGACCTGGGCAGGTGTGGGGTTGCCATCCCTGTCCCCGCCCAGCCCTGAGCCTGGCTCCTCCCGCGGTCTCCTAGGGGTCCTGGGGCTGGGCAGCGCCCCCGCCACCTCTGGGGATTCTTTGGCACACATTGCTCCAGCCCCTGGCCCGTGTATTGGAGTAGTAGAGCTGCATGCAAAGGCTCTGTCCTCGACAGCTGGCATCCTTGGGCAGGTGGTCTTGCCCTCTGGGCTGGACTTCTCGCCTTAAACTGACCGAGGGCCTGTGACATGCGGCAGCTGGGTGGAACCAAGGGATAACCTCACTCTGAAGGGCACAAGGCTCAGAAGAAAGCAAGGGACTCAGGCCAGGGAGGCGCCTGCCCCACCCAGCCCCCAGCCAGCTTCGTTCCACCCACAGCCTTCCAGGGACTTGGAGGCCACTGTGAGAGCCCCGCCTGGCCCCAAGCCTGTCACAAGCCTTGCCCCAAGCTGCCCATGTGAAGCTGCCCATAGAGGGCCTGTCACTCACCAGAGCCCTGGGTACCCACCCAGCCTCCAGTCCTGGCAACCCCACCCCAGACTCAGCCCTCTAATGTGGGAGTTCAGTCCATCATGTCCCCACAGTCAGCCCAGTCCCCCCGCCCCTCCCCCTTGCAAAGTCGGTGAGTAGTCCCTCCCTCTCTCCCCACCTCCCAAGGCTGCAGCTGGAGAAATTTCCATCCCTACCACCCCATCTGTCCATCTGTAGGTGGCTGATGGAAGCCAGTGGGAATACTTAGTGGCCTCTTGCTGCCCCTCCCCCTCAATGTCCCCAGGCCTCTGCAGCCAGGGGACAGGGACAGAGGACCTGGGACTTCCAGCCTCTCTGGGGGAGGGACTGTTTAGTTTCTGCTTGGTCCACAGGTGTCCCCCTAGGCTGGTGCTGGGAGGGGCCCTGTCACCAACAGCCCTTCCCCAAGCCTCCCCAATTGTGGCACACATCACCCACACATTTGAGAGGACAACTTTCCCTTGGGCTCCAGCAGCTACAGCGCCCCCGTGTCCTCCTGACCAGAGGCTGTGGGGTGCCTCGCCTTCTCCCATGGCCCCCAGACCCTTAGCCTCGAGGCACAGACCTGGGCTTCTCAGAGCCATGCCTGAGTGGGGGTCACCAATGTCCCTGCCCTCAGCCAGCCTGGACTCTCTTAGTAGCATCTCAGGTGACTCTTTAGACCACGATCTCCTGAGCCCTCTGGCTGAGGGTTTGAGTCACAGAGCTGGGTCCAGCCCAGGCTCCAAACTTGCCAACTGGCTTCTGGGCTGGTTAGCCTCCCACCTAGGGGCTGGACCCTGTAACCTCACAGTGAGGGTTCCTGGGGGAACCTGGTTATACAGGGCTGCCAGGCCTTGGGCACGTGGCAGGCACCTGCTCTCTGCTCCCCCTCCTTCCGTTTTGAGCCAGGGTCTTGCTATGTAACCCAGGTTGGTCTCAAACTCAAAGTCCTCCTGCCTCAGCCTCTGGGGTGTTAGGATTATAGGCACGTGCCACCACTCTTGGCTGTGCCTGTCCCATCTTGACCTGAAATTTAACCCTACAGGGAACCACTATTGACAGTCTTTGGCACTGGAGCAAGAGGCCCACCCTGAGCCCTGGGCTCTGTGTCCCTGGTGCTCTTCAGGAGCTGGGTGCATTGGTTACCCCAAATTGGAGGGGTAGACTGAGACTTAGGGGGCTGAGGAACTTGGGAAAGCGTGGCCACACCACTGAGGTGCCACAAAAGCAGCTGCCCAGGTTCCACAGCCTCTACAGGCTGCTGGCTGCTCCCCAGCTGCGCAGCTCAGGGACTGGCTGCTCTGGGGATTCAGGGTTCGTTCATCTGGACGTCTTTGCTCTGAACCCAGCTCTTCCACCCGTTGCTGAGCAGGAGGGTCTAGGCCCGAGTTCCTTGGGGTGTGATTGGTCCAGTGATCTCTGTCCCCCTGCTCTGGCAGCTGCATGCGTCCCTCCTTGGGGCTGGCCGGCTGCTGCCCATTGCGGCTGCTGCCGAGCGACCCAGATCACCTGCTCAGCGGAGGGGAAACTGACAGAGGCTAAGAGCCGGGCAGGCCCTGCCTCCAGACGAGCCAGAAACAGACTTCGTGAACCATCTGTATGGAGTGTTTTCCTTCCCTTCCTCAGAGGGGCTATTAGCGGGCGAGTGACAGGTTCGGCATGGAAGACGAGGCATGCTCCGTGGTGCTGGGTGCCCCCCTCCACGCAGATCTGCAGCCTCCTGCAGCTCGGGTGGGGAGGTAGAGACGCTGGCCCCAGACCTCGTAGGACTCCCTAACTGGTGGGGTGCTGAGGAGAGCACTGGGGTGAGGGCCCCAAGCACCCCAAAAGATCTTCCTCTCATCCTGTAGACTTTGGGCAGCTGAGGCATGATGATCCCAAGTTCAAGCCCAGCCTGGACAACTTAGCAATTCAGTGAGAAGCTGTCTCAAAATAAAGGGGCTGGGGGTGGAGCTCCGTGTGACAGCCTGGTTCACCCCCAGGACAGAGGCAAACAGAGACACTCAGCACTCCCTCTACACAACCTGGGCATCTTCCCTGCCTGCTGGGCCTGAGCGAACAGCCTGAGTCCTGCTCCCCGCGCCTGTGCACCCACAGGGACCACTTCTTCTGGGCCTCGGTTTCTCTATTTGTAATAAGGGGCAACCCAAAGTCCCAGCTGCCTGCAGCACCATGTGAGTCCAGCCAGGTGGGGACAGCGGGCGGCTACACATGCAGAGAGCAGCGTGGGGGCTTGGGGTCAGTCTCCTGGCTCCTCCCTGGGGTCTGCATCCAGGCTCCTGGGCCTTCCCATGCTTTGCCTTGGTAGCCCCTGCCAGAGCTGCCCTGCCTCTGCCTGGGGACAGAGGAAACAGCAGTAGGCTGCTCTAGCCAGCAAGTGCTGGATGAATTTGGGGCACTGGGCACCTCGGAGCTGCCGCTGTCCGTGCTCTTCCCCTGTGGCCACAGGTGTCCCCCCCATTCACCTACCACACGCAAAGCCTTGAAGCCCCAGACCTGTGGGATCTGTGGGGGTTTGGTCAACCCCTCTGGGCACTGTGGTCAGGGCCACTCCCCCCAGGGGCAGCCCTGTGACCAACCCAAACCCCTGTGCCCGCAGCTTCTCTCTGAGAGCCAGGGCCACCTGGTGCACCTGGTAAACTCTGTCGGCGACGTCCTGGATGTCCTGCAGAGGGACCGGGGGCTGAGCCGGCCTCGTTTCAAGGCTGATCTCCAGAGGGCGCCCTCCAGGGGTGCCCGGCCGCGGGGCTGTGCCAACGGTGAGTGCCTGGACAGAGCTCCGGTGACAGCCAGGGAGCAGCAGAGCCACAGGCCGAGCCTGTGGCTGCAGCTCCTGACCCCACCTGGCTGGTGGAGTGGACAGACGAGAGGGAGAGTTGGGGATGGTGTGGGAGGGAGGACCCAGGCCTGGGCACACCATGCTGACCCAGCTTCCTGTCCGCCAGGCTCTCGGCCCCGTGACTGCCTGGACGTGCTCCTGAGTGGGCAGCAAGAGGATGGCGTCTACTCGGTCTTCCCCATCCACTACCCTGCGGGCTTCCAGGTCTACTGTGACATGCACACCGACGGGGGCGGCTGGACGGTGAGTCTCAGCATCTCTGTCCACACCCACAGGGACCTCAGGTCCCCAGTGAGCTGACGAGGGACAGGCACATGTCCCATGGTTTTCCTCAAATGTTACCCGGAGGACATTTCAATTTCTTCTTTTGAGTCAGGCCTGGGGAGTGAGTGTCAGCTGTTTGGGGGCTGAGGCAGGAGGACTGCAAGCTTGAAGGAATCTTAAACAGTTTAACAAGACCCAGTTTCAAGATGAAAAGAGCACCGGTGAGATAGCTCAGCGGACTAAGTGACTAAGCATCTGTCTAGGTGAGCACAGGGACCGGGGTTCAATCCCTGGCACCACCTACCACACCAGCCCTGCCCCCAGGCATGCTGAGCCAGCCACCGAGACTGAGCATGGTAGCTCACACCTGTAACCCCAGTGCTGGGGAGGCTGAAAACAGG